AAAAATTATTGTTTTTTGCGCATAATTTAGGAAGATCTCCCTCGATTATTAGGCAGATCTCTTAATTCTCCACCAGTTCCAACTGAGAATAAAGTGTACAAGACATGGGATGAGATAGTCACTAGGTATTAATACTACATTGATGTACTATAGATGTACTATAATTCCTGTACTATAGTACAGGGATTTTAGCCAAATTTTGCCAAAAATGACTAGGAGATAATTCTCCATTTTTATATATTTGTGACCATAATTGACAAAAGGTACCTTATGGCGGGTAGTGAAATTTGTCTTTCTAGCCTAAGAAATCCAACTTCCTGAGCCCCATTTGTCATAAAATTACTCCACAGGATGCAAAAAGTTACCATAAAACTTTTAGAAACAATGATTGTCTAACAAAGCACTCACAGGTTGATATTTTCCATTATAACGATCAATTTTAAAATCCGCCATAAGGGCCCTTTTGTCAATTATGGTCACATTTTTTCTAATACGTATACATTGTCTTATGTTGTGTAGCAAGTTTGAGCTCATTCCGATCAAATTTGGATTTTTTATGAATTTTTAAAGTTACTCAAAAATCGGGCCAAAGTCCCTGTACTATAGTACAGGGATTTTAGCCAAATTTTGCCAAAAATGACTAGGAGAGAATTCTCCATTATTATATATTTTTCTTATACATATACATGGTCTTATGTTGTGTAGCAAGTTTGAGCTAATTCCGATCAAATTTGGATTTTTTATGAATTTTTAAAGTTACTCAAAAATCGGGCCAAAGTCCCTGTACTATAGTACAGGGATTTAGCCAAATTTTGCCAAAAATGACTAGGAGAGAATTCTCCATTTTTATATATTTTTCTAATACGTATACATTGTCTTATGTTGTGTAGCAAGTTTGAGCTCATTCCGATCAAATTTGGATTTTTTATGAATTTTTAAAGTTACTCAAAAATCGGGCCAAAGTCCCTGTACTATAGTACAGGGATTTAGCCAAATTTTGCCAAAAATGACTAGGAGAGAATTCTCCATTTTTATATATTTTTCTAATACGTATACATTGTCTTATGTTGTGTAGCAAGTTTGAGCTCATTCCGATCAAATTTGGATTTTTTATGAATTTTTAAAGTTACTCAAAAATCGGGCCAAAGTCCCTGTACTATAGTACAGGGATTTAGCCAAATTTTGCCAAAAATGACTAGGAGAGAATTCTCCATTATTATATATTTTCCTGATACATATACATGGTCTTATGTTGTGTGGCAAGTTTGAGCTAATTCTGATCAAATTTGGATTTTTTATGAATTTTTAAAGTTACTCAAAAATCAGGCTAATGTCCCTGTACTATAGTACATGGTCTTGGGACAAATTTTGCCAAAATGGAAAAGGAAAGAATTTTAAGATTCTCAGCTACATCATGCATGTTGGTGTTGTTTTGTAGAAAGTGTGAATTGTTTAGTATTGTGGGGATTGCTTTTTATTTTTGCAATTGGCTCCAATTCATCCTCTTTTAATAATGAAAGCCTTTTGTTATTTTATACTGTACTTCAGAGATGTTTTTTAAAACTAGCTCATTCATTATTGAAAAGAGACATGAATGGCTCAACAACTATGCCTGACCTTTCTACTTGTCCTTTTCTTTAATTTTATTTCTCTCTCCCCTTCACCAGAGTGTGGGACGCTAATAAGAAACTGGACAGTCTTTTATCAAGGGATGACGTAGCCGTGATTGCAAGGAGAGGCTCTATCTGCATTGACGAAGGCTACAAATTTTCGCATGACAACAGACTAAAAGAAGTAATTACGAATTTGCAATTTTAACTATTATTATATTTATATTTTATTTTATTTTATTTTATTTTATTTTTCTCAAAGCCATCTCTGTTGTACTTGCCTCATGAAACAGACGCAGAATTTATAAAAGCAATTCAATGTCCAACACTGTTAATAATGTGAGCTAAACTCCATCTATTAGACTATTTCTCTCCATCTATTTCTCACCCTCTTTCTGTTCCTACATGTATGACTCTCTCTTTCTCTCTCTTTTCCATCTTATACTTGTATTGGAATCGTATCTATGTACCTTCTCTAGAGCTGAGGAGAGTATTTTCAAGGAAGGATTGAATAAAAAAGTAGAAAATGCCGGAAATGACAAAGCAAGTTATTAATTGCCATGCATTAGTTTATTATTAAATATTTTATTATTAACTACATTTTCTCCTTAGATCAAGGTTGTAACAGCTCCCGGGGGTCATCATTTGCAGCTGTACAGTCACAAGGATATTGCAGCACTCGCCAACCAGTTCCTATTATCATCCTCCTCCTCAGCTTCCTAGAGCTAGTATAATTTATATTGGACCTTATTTATCATATTTTCTGTACTAATACTAACATTGCTTTATAAATGGAATAATAAACCTTTGAAAATGGATTAGAGAATCCCATTTTGTTTTATTCTTTGATAATTTTTCTACCTTTAAATTATTATGCAATAAAATTCAGTTATAACAGGCATTGTTTAAAACAAGGGACTTGGTTAAAATTTGTTTGTGTCACAAATCCTTAAAGTTTGTATGAACTGTCTATTTGAATAGTTCATTCACAAGCTTTTGATAAATAATTAAATACTAGCATATAGTAGTTCTAATTGAAAATCTGTCATAGAACAATTGGCAGCAAATATCCAACTGTAGCATAGATTAAATTTACAGCAGAAAATCAGTAATTATATTTAATAATCAAATATTGTTATTAAACAAAATATAAAAGTAGCTTATAAAAGGAATAAATGTTTAAATGAGATTGTGTGTGTGAGGCAGCAGTAGCTGGTGCATAGCTTTAATATCACTAATATCATTGTATGACATTTCTGATCTTTCCTATCTCATCAATCTCACACTCTACCACATCTCCTTTCTAAAAATAGAACACAACATTACAACTCAATGACATCATTGCTGATGCTTATACATGTACCTTAAGCCAAAGGGGTGGCTTACGAAAACAGCCCACACCCGGGGGCGTGCCTGTTAAAACAACATCACCTGGCTTAAGTGTAACAAATCTGCAATAAAATATACAAATTAAATATACTAGAGTATACTGAAGTATACAAGGGTATACTGAACGGTGTAACGTATAGTGACATACTGTGATATGTATGAGACAAGTCCTTCAGTTTTATGCACCAGCTGGTTGGTATTTGAATCTTGTACCGTCTCACCGTTTAGACGACACCTAATGCCCAAATTATGAGGATCTGAAAATACAAGAATAAATAATTAAATGATCCTATGTTCGTTGGCATAATTAACATTGGATTTTTGGTGTGGCTAGTATTTGGCAGACTTTGTTATTTAACTAATGCATTTTGGCTGCCTCTATATTATATTATCAAAAATTAAGTTTCTGTATTATATGCTGGTATTTATCCTCTCTCCCTCATCCTTACCTGAGATGGATGGTGTTGTTACAAGAGCTGGTCCTAAAGGACAGAAAGTGTCAAAGGTCTTCCCAAGGAGCCATTGCTTCCCATTCTTCTTCATCTGCCAGTCTCTGGCACTGACATCATGAGCTACTGTATACCCAGCCACGTATGACATTGCATCTGAAGTCTATAATAATAATAATAATATAATAATAATAATAATAATAATAATAATAATAATAAAAATAACAATAATAATAATAATAATAATAATAATAATAATAATAATAATAATAATAATAATAGGGAATCATGAATAGACAAGGAATATGATGCCTAGGTTTATTTCAACCATCATAAATGAATTAATAATGTTGGTTTCTATATATCCCATGCAACACTTGAAGTCTAATCAGCTTTATGTGTAAATGGTATAACTGATTGTTTAAAGGAACACTGGACTAAGTTAACATGCAATTTCAAAGCCACTTTTTGAAGGTATTGAACTATTTTACAGTGTTACTAGTTTTGATAGGTGACAGACATTGCATCAGTCATTACATCAGTATGTATAGGTACTCTGGACAAGTAACAGTCTTTATCTTGATGAACTCCTGACCTCATTAACATTAGACAGAGAGAGAGAGAGGGCAGATAAACACAGACTATCAGCAATGATTTCATCTCAAGTCAATACACTCTCCAAAACATTATTATCAAAAGTCCAGTACACACTGATCATATTTCCACACCTCACAGGTGATACGTAAACCTGAGCTTTTTTAATCAAACTTTGGGCATGCCCACAAAATCAGAGCATCGTTTTACAACTGTTGGCATGAGCTAGCCTTGCTCAATGAGCCAGAGAGACTAAACATAAAAACTCTCATACCTTACAAAGCTTAGAAGGACAACAATCTTATAATGCTATTTTCTTATAGAGCAACAGTGTGCAGCTTATAACCAAGCCAAAGCATACATTGTCTCCTTATAAATATTAAAAAAAAATTTTTTTTGAAGTGAATAGTACTCTCTTCCTATTTCCATGATACGTTTATTTAATAGCAAATGCTACGCTTCTGAGCCTCAGGGCATCATGTGGTGGTGGGTGGTGAGGTGGACACAAGCCTCACAGAGCTATAGCATAATGGGCCCATTGTTTATCAACTACTAAAAATCCATTTCTATAAAGATTTATCATAACAATAATCTTAACAGTATATCTCATGAACAGCTATGAATATGACTCCGCTCTCACAGCATATGTACATTTGTAATAGCTAATTCACATTTTATCATGAATGACAGATGTTATTGTCTATAAAAAATTTTCTCACTCCCCCGTTGTCCAATCAAACAATAGACGCATATAAACATAATTATACAAAAAAGAGGAAGAGATTATAGTCCAATAGCAGTATTAATGTAATTATAGAAACCTCTTCTCTTCCTCAAGTTTATCACATCTAACTCTTGTAGATGCTGTTAAAGCAGGTTCAGTAGGAAAGGTGAAAGGATTAGCATACACCTTTGAACTAGAGACTGCCTCCCCATTGAAAAGGTTTATATAAGTCATTACTACACTCATTGATGGACTGCCTCCCTCCCTCCCTCTCTCTCTCTCTTTCTCTTTCTCTCTCTTTCTCTTTCTCTCTCTTTCTCTTTCATACTCACTGGGATGTTCCTTCCTTCCTTTGACATTATGAAAGCAAGCTCAACTTCATAGTCTAATTCCTAATAAGAAGGAATCGAGAGAATTGAGAAAAGAAATATAATATATATCTATATTATCATGTACTCTTGATATTATTAGTGGAGAGGAGAGAGATTATTAGGTACAGCTACCAAACAAGTGCTGAATGATGTACACAATGCCTGACCCATGTAAGGGGACATAACAGCATAGTTTGCAGCTTGTAGACATCTATGCCACTCGAAATACACCCCCGATGATACCATCTGACATTTCTTTACGAGAATACAACTTTTAAACATAACAACATTTCCGTAAAGAGAGCACTCGGTAGCATTATGATAGTAGTATGATAGTATTAGCTCGCTCTCTCTCTCTCTCCTTCCTCTTTCTCTCTCCCTCTTTCTCCTTACATTTGTCAATGGCGATAACACCACAGGTCCATTAGGCTCTGTGATTGCAGATGCAAATTTGCTAAACACGACAGGCTCAACAGGAACTGGAACATTCTGCTCCGTACAATGATCAATGTAGTTAAGCCCGATGCATATAAGCTTCTCTGGGTTGTATATTGGAGCCTTGAGTAATAAATCTGAACGACTTATAATACCCTGCCCTTGGGACTTGGCTTGCTCTAGAGCTCTAGAAATGGATGAAGAAAAGTAACGGTTTAGCTTGTATGCGTCTCCCCACACAAGTATGTAATGTAGCTTTTTGCACAATGTAGTTAATTCATCCCTTTATAGATATGATGGCTCATGCATTGCAAAAATAGTGGGAATGGTGCACGGAGATTACCGGAGTGTTGCGGAGAGGCTGCTGTCCCAGTTCTCAAGGAATGAGCGCATGTCTTTTGGTATTGCCTCGTCAATGTTTGTCACGTCAACGACATTGCCTCCATCTTCCAGCTCTACCCCTACCCTAGGAGACTCCTCTTTGCTTAGCTGAAACTGGACCAGTCTTATTGCCATTTTCTCGCCTACTTTTCGCACACTTCCGGATAACTTCCGGGTTCTTGTACACGTGGCTTGAAAAGGGACAAAGTCTCTCAAACAGCGTTGAAAAACTCCTGTAGAGCTAGCTACTGATCTAGATAAATATTTTGCAAGCATTTTCACTGTTTGAAGTCCGTCTTTGATGGAAAAAATAGCATAAAATTAGCGAGAAAATCAATGATAATCAGCTCAGAAATCCTGTTATGGGTGGAGCAAGTAGATGACGTGTCCTCATTAATAATTTTAGCTGGCGTCTATAAAACTGATACAAATTTCTCTCCTACTTAGACAAAATTACATTTTTGTTGTTTTTTGTTTTTGTGCTGAAGGTTTTAAGCCCGAGGGAGACCAGAAAAGAGGAGCAGCAGTGTGGTGGAATACTCTAAAAGAGAGTAACGAGAGAGCGATAAGTCTTTGGGAAAGAAAAACAAGAGACAAAGCAGCATTTTCTGCCTTTCCCTGAATAATACGCAAGCCCACACTCTCGTACACACACTTCACTCCCTCTTGAAAAAGAATCTTCGAACCAGCACCAAATCAGATGGAAATAGATACCCCTGCAACGACCCACGGAGGGTCACAAAAATCAGTCCATTTTGAAGTTCCGGAGAGCATCCAAGTACCTGTGGACCTCACCGTTTCCATAACGCAGCAGGAACAACAAGCAAATGGCGCCTCGGGCAAGTCTAGACGCAGGAGGACCTCGTCCAGTGGCAGCAAGGACGACGAGTCTCTTGGTACGCCACCGCCTCGTCCGATAGCTCCTTCAAAGCTCAGGAAGCTAGCCGAGAAGGATAGACACCTTTCCCGCTCCGGGAAAGGTCGAGGCAAGCCAAAGAAGGGTAAGTGGTTATTGGTGCAGTCTCTTGTCATGGCTTTAGCTCTATGAAACTGTTGATTGCTGCCTTGAATCTCTACCCAACACCTCCTTACATGCAGTAGCAATTTGTATGGGTTTGATAGGCTCCCCCAGTTACTGCACGGTGTTGTGTTTGTTTACTACCCATCAATGGGGCTATGAATACTATACAAACGTGTTTGATTGATTGCTTGTGCACATTTCAAATCCTCCTTTTGCATTTTTTTGCTTATGACTGCAGTACTATATTCAATGCATGTGTATATGTGTAAGTGTTTGTTTTTAATTTCATTTTCTCGATCCTCCATCAGCTGATCTCCTCATCTATCATCAAGAGTCTAACCCTTCCTTATTTGGGCATTAAATGCGTGGGTGTATGTCAACATGTACATCTTTTAATATGCTTTTTGTTCCTAATGAATAGTTTGTAGAATATTCAATATACCACTACAAAAGTGAAGTTATTCATCAATAATTGTATTCTAGTATTCTAATTGAATATTTATAGTATTCAAATTTTCTGTCTCTCAGTTCAAATTACATTCCTTTACAATGCACAGTTTAATCCTGTAATTAACACTAGGCTTTGACTAACAGCCGTGAATGAAACCTTTTATCAAGCACGCTCCTTCTATAGCTCCACATTGTAGTCCTCCTCTTCTCATCTTGCAACACCTCTCAATCTCATTGCTGCCCTAATTTACTTACTTCCTAATTCCCTGCATATTTGGTAGCTTTTATTCTGACAAAGAAGCTCTTTGCTGTGCTTCAATGCCCTTGTTTACTTATTTCTGATGTGCAGACTTTACCCTTGTATGGGCTCTTATCATAACTTTCTCAGTACCACCTCCTAACCACTTGCCTCTACTATACTTTGTATTTGTGTATGTCTATCTGCTAAAGGGGCTTATGTCTGATGCCTTCTAGCTATAATGTGTTATATCAAAACCAAAACCTATTGACTATCAACTGATTTTGATTTTGCATTCAAAGTAGCAATGTATGCTTGTTGCATTGCATCATCCCTTTTTCTCATAAACATTGTGTGTACAATACAGTGGCCTCCTTTTATGGCCTTTGTTTACTTTGGCTGAGCCTGATCCATGTGGTCTGCCGGGGGACAATGAATGTCATTAGCGTAGAATGTTCTAGAAGCTCATTAAGTTACGCCAAGTCAGAGACCGTGTTGTGTTGTCAGCAGTGGAGTGAGTCTCATAATAATGTGATAGTGTGAGAATGAGTAATGCTTAGCTGGCTGTTCTAATCCACACTATTGCAGCTGTGCCTTATTATTGCTGACAGTTAGCAGTCTCTGTAGTTGTACATGTATGCACTCATTTCATCATACAGAGCTCTATGAGTATGAATTAGCTTCATTTTTGTTTCTTCTTGTGTTTTGTGCATTATCATGTACCACCTGTGTTAGGCAGTTCTCTTGTTTGAGTATTTAGTGTGGTTTTAGGTGATAAGCTATAGACAATTGAATATTAATGACATAATACCTCTCCTTATGATGCTTATCAATCCTTTGAACTATTAAAGCTATAGAACTTGTATGGTCAGCCATAATGCAACAATGATACCCTTTCATGTAATTATCATTATTTAAAATTATTAAATCACAGGGTTAAATCTATTGTCTTTTTTCCCTATGAACAGGTGGTGCAGGTGGTAAAGGTACTTGGGGCAAACCAATCGATTTCTTTGACGAAGAAGGAGGACACATCAAAGACTCTCGTGATCCTAACTATGACTCCGACGAAGCAGATGTGAGTAATGCACAATGATCACTAACTAGTGATTAATTTGCTCGTAAACTAACAATGATCCTTCATTCATGTATGTACATGTACACATGTAGATGCATTGTTGCTTATTAAATTATTGTATTATTATTGTTGTGATCATTTGATATTGCATTTTATTTTGTGTAGGATGACACATACATTGACTCACCCGTTTCTCCTCAGCTGAAAGTTGATGAATTCAACAGACAGGCTGAAGCTCTTTTTAAAGTAATATATAATAGGTGTACACTACAGTTACTGCTCTCTAATGCAGTTTGTGATCATTGTTCTGTTATCCTCTAGGAGTATTTTGATAATAATGACAAAGATGAAGTTCTTGTCACCTTGCAAGAATTGAATATTAAGAACATAAAGCCAGAAGTGAATAACACACATACATTGTACATGTACTTACTTTACTACATGCATGTAGTGGCAGCACCTTTCAATGCAGCCATTCACTGACATGTATTATACTATTATTTGATTTTTATCTGTTTTCATACTCTCTCTCTCATTATCATGTTTACACGTACTCCATCATGTCACTTATACATGTACATGTGCTTGTGCTGTTGCTGTTCCTGTGAGATGATAATGATAACAGTTTCATAACTTAGTGTATACACACAGTTGCTCCACCATGAGTTGTAGTGTGTATTTTGCTGACATTCATGAGTTGCTCTAGCAAAGCGTTACCTTATCAGCCTGCCTTGTAATTCAAGATGCACCTCACTTAGCTATGAAAGCCATTCAAAGGGTTTTGAATTCAATTTGTTACGGTAATATCGTTTCGATAAATTGATTTATAAGCGACGGGCTTGCCAGCCAGTTCTGATTGAAGTGTCTGATTTGAATCTCCCAAAGTGTCTATGCTGCTAACTTGATAGTCTTTCTTTCCACCTTCCCTCTGGAGGTGCTGTGTGTGTTAATCTGATATTATTCTGTAGAAATGATTGTTATATTCTCACTTTCTCTTCTCCCCTCCCTCTCTCTCTCTTTCTCTCTCTCTCTCTCTCTCTCTCTCTCTCCCCCTCTCTCTCTCTCTCCCCCTCTCTCTCCCCCCCTCTCTCTCTCTCTCCCCCCCTCTCTCTTTCTCTCCCCCTCTCTCTCTCTCTCTCCCTCTCTCTCTCTCTTTCTCTCTACAGATTATTCGTTCATTGATTGCTCTAGCTATGGAGAACAAGCAGTGCAACTGTGAAATGGCCTCACAGTTGATCTCCTATTTGTGTGGGCAGGTCATAAATGCCCGTGAAATCAGCACAGGTATAATATCCCACATTTGTATTTTTATGCCTTCTCCATTACTACTCTTACTACTGAGCACTGAACCACATAATACTAATACATGAATTAGCAAACTTGTTTTAAAAACAAGTTTGTTAGCTAACTCATTGGTGTTTGCCAGACAGTACTATGTACCTGTTTTGTTATTGGACAATGTCTCTACTACTTGTTTCTTAGCCTCAATCTCCTTCCTTCTCTATTAGGTTTTGATATTCTACTCCAGCAATTGAATGACTTATCTCTTGATGTCCCTAATGCTTGTGAAGTCCTTGGTAGCTTCATAGCAAGGGCAGTCGCTGATGACTGCATCCCACCCGCCTATGTACAGAATCATCACACCACCAGTGACCCATGTGTACTGTAAGCAGAGTCACAGTCACACACACACACACATATGCACTGTGGTGGTCACTTTCTATGTTTCCTTGTTTTATTGTCATTCTCTTCATTTTATACAGTAAAACTCTTAAAAGAGCTAAAGTCTTGCTTGGCATGAGGCACAGCCATGCCAAGCTTGAGAATATATGGGGCATAGGAGGTGGACAGCAACCATTGTCTCACTTGATTGAAAAAGTAAGAACTAGAAGACATTCACATATTGTATGTATACACACATGTGTGTGTACATACACACACATGTGTACACTGGCCAGCATTTGTATTATGTAGTACAATAGACATGGAGTGTGTAAGCTTGTATGGAGGAAGTGAGTATGAGCCTAATTCAATTTATATTTTGAAATTCATACAAATTCAATGGTAGTAATTGTAGCCGTATAGTGTCCATGTCTATTTGTATTTGTTTTTTGCTATCTCGTGTGGTGTTGATGCATTTATGATAGACTCAATGCATTGAATACTGACAGTGATACCGTATTGTGTGTGTGAGGCCATGGGTTTGTTTTGTCTGGGGCATATTGTTGTTTATAAGATATGTGGATAATGTTATTCTATCCCCTGCCCTTCCCTCGCTGATTCTGACTCTCTCCTTCCCCCTCTCTCCCCCTCCCCTCTCTCTCTCTTTCTCTCTCTCCCTCTCAGGTTATCCTAATCCTCAAGGAGTATCTTTCTTGTGGTGACAAAGATGAAGTTGTTCGCTGCCTCCAGGAATTGTCTGTGCCTCATTTTCATCATGAAGTTGTTTATGAGGTACATGAATCTTCGGTTAATATTCATCATCATCATTATCATCATTATTATTAGTTTCATTATTATTATTATTATTATTTTTAAGATAGTTGCAAGGATATCATTGGATTTTCCCAGGGGAAATCCCTCAATCTTTTATTCAAAAATTATTTTGTGTACATTTCTGCTTCCTTTGTGTAGGAAGCAAGTATTATCACATTGCCTCTATATAGTGTCAATGTAGTTTCTCCTTATACCAATCATAGTATAAATGTACATGTACTAGCAAAAGAGTAGGTACTAGCTAGCTCACCCACTCCAGCTGGGCTAGTGTTTCATCAGAGTACCAGAGTATTCATTGCACATTGTTTTCTCATGTGACTAGTCTCCTCCATGCAGCTGTGTTATTTGAATTGTACGTGTGTGTGTGTGTGTGTGTGTGTGTGTGTGTGTGTGTGTGTGTGTGTGTGTGTGTGTGTGTGTGAATTCTTTTACTGGAAGTAGTCACTAAGTGTCATTTCTTATCATTGATATTATGAAATGTGTATACATGATATCATTAAGTTACAAGGCACAGCTGCTGTGGGCACTTGACATTTGTGAGGCTTTTTCTGATAAACTTTATCAATGAATGTTGTCAGCCACTTAAGCTCTAGACCCTTTCTTGTACTAAGTAAATGTAGAACAAGTATGTGTTAGTGTTTTCAATCACAGATTATGTATATGAATGATTCACCAAATTCATGTACATGTACATGTACCTAAGTACTTAGCTTTTACTCTTTTTCTTTATTACAGGCTACTATTCTTTTCATGGAGGACGGGCGCGATTCTTGTTCCCAGAAGATGATCGATCTCCTCCAACACTTGTCTATCACTACCCTTATCACTAGTGATCAGTTCCAGCAGGGTTTTCTCCGCATTTTCAACGACATGACCGAGATTGTACTTGACATACCTCAAGCTTATCTCCTCCTCAACAAGTTCATTGAGCGAGGACTCCAGGCTGGCTTTGTCTCTGCAGCAGTTGCTCAGGAAGTTCCTCAAAGGTTAGAATTTAGAAGCACAGGCTAATTATGTACAGCATCAAATGTTTTCAAAAAATGGACCATTTTAAAATGGCCATAACTTGAAAATTTCTTATCAGAATCGACTCAAACTTTATACATAGCATAAGGGCATCAATATGTATCAGAAAATGTAATAAAAATTTGGGGTGATTTTGGAACCATTTTTTGGAAAAAACCATGGGCTATAGCCTTGGGTATTTTTCAGAAATTAGCTCATTTTTTAAAAACCATAACTCCAATCGGAATCAGCTCAAACTTTCTATTTTTTAGGGGTCGCAAGCGTTTTGTCAGCGAAGGAGATGGAGGAGCCTTCAAGAATCCAGAATACTGAGGATCCAGTTGCTTCTCTCATCGCAGTTGTTAATTTTAGGACTTTTTGAGCTTGTATGCAGCCCCTGCCCTCTCTCGTGTTTGTCAAGTATCTACACAACGTCACTCATTATCTAGTTAGAGAAGCCCCTGCTAGTGTACACAAGTTATTAGGACATTACTATCATTATTATTATTATTATTATTATTATTATTATTATTATTATTATCATTATTATTCTGGCTAAAGGAGAAAAAGGGAGTAATCACTAAAGTTTAAAAGCAACAGTCATTTTTAATTTTCCAAAAAAAAGAGGTTGTGAGAGAATTTTATTTCTTTTTTGGAGGCCTTATGTTCAATCTGTTATTGTTACTGTGCTATAACTGTCTTGTATTATATCATTATATTGTTTGATTTGTTTTAAAAAGAAAAAAAGAAAAAAATAATTAATGGTTTCAATTGCGTGGGTGTTCATTAAAGGCGTGGTTAATTTGGTGACGTAATCAGTACAAAAAATTAGGTGTGGCTCGTTCCAAAAATGAGTGCAGCAGGAAAAAGGCAAGCTCCTGGTCATCCTCCTCCTGAAGGAAATCGTTTTCAAAGTGAGTGAAACCCGAGGGGCAGCGTGCTTGCATGGCTACTGCTAAAAAGAAGAAGAAGAGTTTGAATCCTTTTGATGATGAGGAGGAGGACTTAGGAAAGAAAGAACAGGAGGAGGTGGTCCAGCCTGCAGCAGGAGCAGAGAAAGAGAGAGTGATAGAGGGAAAAGTGAATAAAGGGCAGGCCGTCCCTCCTTTGAAAGATAGAGAGGATAACCCTGCACCACCTCTTCCTCCTCTGAACCTTGAGCCTAAGCATAATACTAGGGCTGAGAAAGGTTTGATGTACTTGTAGATTTATAATGACAACCCTCTCTCTCTCTCTCTCTGTTTTTCTCTCTCCAGGATCAAAGAAGGAGCCAGTTCCAAAATACGGTCATGCCACAGCGACTGTTAATGATAAAGTGTACATGTGGGGCGGGTGGAGGAAAGGGTTCCCGGAAGTACACAGTTCACAGGAGAAGACCTCACTGCTCTCCATGATGGACGTCTTTGACTTGAAGAAGGGAGAATGGTCAGAAGTTGAGACTTATGGGTCTCCTCCGTTAGGCGTCAGAGGGTACTCGTGTGCTACTATTGGGACTAGGATCTATTATTATGGAGGGTATTGTGGTCACGATTGGTGCAGACATTCTAGTTTGCAGTAAGAGAAAGAGAGAGAGCTAGGGAGAAGAGACATATGTATTGAAATAAAAAGTGTACATAAAGGTTTTTAATGTGGACATGAAGTATCAACATTAGGAATATACAACATTTTGTCAACCTTCTCCCTCTCTCTTCTCTTTTTTATTCTTTTCCCTCTCTTGTTCTTCCCGTCTCTCTCTCTCTCTCTCTCTCTCTCTTTCTCCCTCTCTCTCTCTCTTCTCTCCAGTTACTTTGAAACCACTACCCATACATGGACCAATGTCCCTATTGCTAATCCTTATCAGTCTCCAATGAAGAAGAGTTCCAGTGGCATGGTTGCATTCAGAGATGAAGCTGAAGACTATCTCTTTGTTTTTGGAGGAGTTGGCATGCTCTGCTCTGCCAATCAGTCTGAAGCAATTTACATTCCATGGAAAGAGAACCCAGACAATGGGTGGACTAATGAATCTCACATTTTCTCACTGCAATCAAGTAAATGAATCATTTGATGCATCAGAACTGACCTCTTTTAATGGTTTACTTTATCTTCTCAACAAACGTTTATTTTTTATGATGGTTCGATGATTTTATGTACTTTTTTCTTCCCCAATAAAGAGGAATGGATCACTCCAGAAGTCAGAGGTGAAAGGCCTCCGCCATGTGCTGGGTTTACACTCACACAAATCACACAAAACTCTGCTCTACTTTATGGAGGGGTTGACTCTACCAGTGGGCAGTGTCTTAGCGATGCTTACATCGTTGAGCTAAGCAAAGCCTCAATTGTAAGTAGTCACTGTTGTCTGTGTATGTCTGAGTAAAGGGAGTAATAGGGAGTAACTTGTGTCTGTTATCATGATAAAGTATCTCATGTGACTCGACTGTTATGGAGCTGTTGGCAGCTGTTGATTTTGACAGTTTTCATAACATCTCTCTCTCTCTCTCTCTCAGCACTGGTACAAAGTCCAAATCATGCAAGATAAACCCAAGCCGGCAAAGAGACACGATCACACTGCAGTTTGCATATCAGGACCTCTCTTTGGGCAGATAAAACCAATGGTACTCATAGCAGGCGGAAGAGACTCCAGGTGGAAAAACCTTGGAGACCTTTGGATACTTGATTGCTCTATTGGGATGTGGACAAAAGTAATGAGAAATACTAACTGATATTATGATACTTGGTTTTTTAGCTTGAGGTGTCCCAGCCTGTTGCTTTTCGCCACTTGCACTCGCTCTCAATCTTCAGCATTGCTGACTATTGTGTCTATGCTGTTATGTATGGAGGCATTGAGGAATGGATACCTAATGCTTCTGCCAGTGATCAGGCAATGCTATCGGATACAACTGTACTAGAAATATGTACGACAATAATCTCTTTTTTATCTTTCTTCTCAATCTTTTTAATATTGTTTCGTCTCTCTTTATTTTATTCACTTTTGCTTTTTCTCTCTTTTTGTCTTTTTGTCTTTTTCTCTTTTAGGTTTAAATTCTGATGATCACTGGGAAATGTCAGCAGTGCTAGCCAGTCAGATACTGAGAGAGACAGAGGAATACAAGGGAAGACTGATACAAAGACTCTTCCACATTTTGAAGCATGGGAAAGAAGATCAGCACAAGTTAGTGAAAATGTATCTTCTCGTGTTTTGTTGACCCAATACATAACACTTTCATTTTTAATAATAATAATCCCACAGGAACTATTGTTAAAGTTTTGTTTATAATTTTTGTTTTGTTAATAGAGTTGTGTCCGATGGACAGGAGGTCATGAGATTATGTAGTGAGCTCGAGCAAGCTCAGGTAAGAGCACAAGAGGCAGAGAGCAAGGCTCAGTCATTGCAACAAGAAGTTCATCAGTTACAGAGTCAACCGTTACCACCCTCCTCCCACTCACCTCTTCTCGGAAGGACAGGTGGAAAAACACCGCCAGCTAAAGCGACGCCTCCTCAAACTCCAAAGAGTGGCACGCCTCCTTTAACAAGAGCCACTCCTCCAACAGCTAAGAAATCAACGTCACTATTCTCTCGCTCACCCGCACTTACGCCTAAAAGTAAACCAACACCTGCCCCAGCAGAAGCTGCAGCTACAGTTGGTCTAACTGAGCCATTGCCTCCTTTAATTGATACTAGTCTTGATATTAGAGCTCAGCAGATAGCCATAGAGTTGACTAGTGATGCATTAAAGCTACACCTCGTACCGCAAAAAGACATTGCAACTAATGGCCCTAGTATTGATACAGGGTGCTATGGGGATACAGCACCAGGCCTGTATAAAAGGAGTCTTCCCGTATCTGTCAAGACATTGAAGATAAGAAGAGGAAGGAACGATGCCTACAGTAATGTTATACTCAATCACAAGTTAGTGAAATCGTTTCAGTTGCGTCATCCAAATATAGTTCAATTGCTGCATGCCTCCGTGCAGCAAGAAGGACTAGGAGACGAGAGAGAAATTGTGTTAGTCTCTGAGCCACTGACAATAACCCTCCAGCAACAATTGACAAAGAAAGCTCTGGCAAAACAAGACATCATAAATCTATCTCTAGATGTGAGCATGGCCTTGAGTTACTTACACAATCACCCTCACTATCCAATTGTACACGGTTCAGTCTCCACTTCTGGGATAATCCTCGAACCACTTGCATTGAAGTGGCGTGCTAAACTTGTCGATTTCTTTACGGCAAATTACTTTTATTACGCTTCGACTGAGACCCCTTTAGTCATTGACCCACCTTACATACCTCCTTCTCCTCCTTCACTGTCTTCTCCTTCAGCTAGCAGTATCCCAGTTTTGAATACCAAATTCGATATTTTTTGTTTTGGTATTGTTTTACTGGAGACTGTCACTCGAAAGCAGCCTCCAGTTGAGGCAGCTGGTAGGGAGTCTTTGCTTGGTTCTGTGAAGTGGTCATCCCTTGCTGGCGTGATCAGGAGCTGCACTTCAGTTCTCGATGCTGATAGACCTCCTGCTGATACTCTTCTCAATGATCTCCATAAACTTTAAAACTGATGATAATGTGATAGGTTTTATTCATAATTAAGCAAGAGTGAACTAACATTTTTACTATTTTATATATTATTGTAAGAAATTTTATTTTCTAGTTTTAGTGATTTATTATATATATACACTTAAAATAAAATAATTAATTAACTACATTTATTTATTAAACCTTTGGCAGTTGCAGCAAATATCTCTATTACAAAAGCAGAGAGAGAAGACTGCATTAGAGGGGCCTCAAATCTCAATATGCTTAAAAGATTTTTTCAAAGTAGGAAATGTGCTTGTACTTTGATACTAAAATTGTCTCTTATCTACCAGAGAGATACCAACCCAAAGCAAGATGGGGTCATTCTTGTGTACCACTGGGCAACAAAGCAGTTGTATGGGGTGGGATGCAAGCAGGTCTACCTGAAGTACATCAAAGCCCCATAAAGACACAGTGCACTTCTGTAGTAGAGGTATAATGGCTGTACATACTGCTCATGTGTCACTTCTTTGTTCATAAGGTATTTGATGTACGTACAGCAAAGTGGATCCAGGAGAAAACAATAGGGAATCCCCCACTAGGCGTTAGGGGTCAGGCATGTGCAGCTGTTGGATATGATCTTTATTTCTTTGGCGGGTTCTGTGGGCATGACTGGTGTCGTCACAATACAGTCTATTGTCTCGATACACTCACCAACGTATGGAGAGAAGTGGTGCCTAAGAATCCCGGAAAAACTCCAATGAAGAAGACTCGATGTGGGATGTTTGGCTTTAGCTTGAACAGCGAGGACTATCTTTGCATTCTTGGAGGTACTGGTCTTCTCTGTTCGGCAAACCTCACCGAAGCCACTTACATACCTTGGAAAGAAAACCCTGACTGGGGTTGGACCAATGAGCTACACTTCTATGCACTCAGAAACGGTACGTATTAATGAATTGTAAAATATATAAATCTAAACTTGATTGAACAAAAATCACACAATATAAGAACATTTTAATGCAGCATAGTATTCATTAAATTCCTATTTCCTTGTTGCATGCCATATCTTCCTTATCTATTCCATTTTACTCATCACAGCCTCCATAAGGTCAGTCACAGTATGTATAATGGTGCACTATGTTAGCTTACTAGTAATACCATAATAAGATAAGGAGTTACTATTGCTTACATTTTCTCTACATATATAGGTACATGGATCATTCCAACCCATACTGGTGATATCCCACCTCCTTGTGCCGGCTTTACTTTGACCAAAATATCTGAAAACTCTGCCATTCTTTTTGGCGGGTATCAGCCTCAGAAATCCAGCTGTGTAAATGATATTTACATTATGACTATAATTGACATTGGAACAGTTGTAAGTTACATATAAGTTTTTTCATTTAGGAAAACAACTTTTGTATGCATATATATATGTTCTTATGTTGTGTATCAAGTTTTAACTGATTCCAATCAAGTTTGGTTCTTTTACAAATTTTTAAAGTTGCTCAAGAATTAGATTAAAGACCAAAGGCTATAACTTTGGGTATAGAATTTTGAATTTTTTAAAATGGTCATAACTCAAAAAATTGAAGTCAAAATCAGCTCAAACTTTCTACACAGCATAAGGACATCAATATGTATCAGAAAATGTAATAAAAATTGGGGGTGATTTCGGAGCCATTCTTTGAAAAAAACCATGGGCTATAGCCTTGGGTATTTTTCAAAAAATGGCCGGTTTTTTTAAATGACCATAACTCAAAAATTTTTTATCAGAATTGATTCAAACTTTCTACACAGCATAAGGAAATCAATATGTATCAGAAAATGTAATAAAAATTGGGGGTGATTTTGGAGCCATTCTTTGAAAAAAAACCATGGGCTATAGCCTTGGGTATTTTTCAAAAAATGGCTGGTTTTTTAAAATGACCATAACTCAAAAATTTCTTATCGGAATTGATTCAAACTTTCTACACAGCATAAGTACATCAATATGTATCAGAAAATGTAATAAAAATTGGGGGTGATTTCGGAGCCATTTTTTGAAAAAAACCATGGGCTATAGCCTTGGGTATTTTTCAAAAAATGGCCAGTTTTTTAAAATGACCATAACCCAAAAATTTTTTATTGGAATTGATTCAAACTTTCTACACAGCATAAGTACATCAATGTGCATCGGAAAATGTAATAAAAATTGAGAATAATTTTGAAGCCATTTTTTAGAAAATACCATGGGCTATTATAGTACAGAGACTTTAGTGAAATTTCATTAAAAATTTAAAAGGATAAAATTCTCCATTTTATAATTTTTTTGATACATTTTTAAGTTTCTCAAAAATCAAATTTTGATGTTTGACTAATAATAAATATCTTTAGGTCTGGAAGAAATTAGAAATAAAAAGGACAGAGGGAGAAAGAGAGGAGGACTCTAGTCCTTCTGGACGACAGGACCACACTATGGTCTGCTTGTCAAGCTCACTAACTGGACACAACAGAACAATCCTTCTAATGTTAGGAGGACGTAGCACAAGTGGCAGAACATTCAGCGACTCTTGGGTACTAGATATTGAGCAAAATAGATGGACACAAGTAAAAATGAATAAACTTATTTAATACAAATATGGAGAGCTGTTTATGTAGAATTTATAGATTCTTTATTCTTTATTGGCTTGACTTAATATTATTCTTTGCTGTAGGTTTTCCTTTTGGAGTCTATTGCATATCGTCACTTCCATTCCATGGTCTCAGTATCAATAAATGCAAGTCGTATACTGGTGATTGTGTTTGGTGGCGTTAGGGAGTGGCAGTGGGGCAAAACTGCCAGTCAGCAACCAGCACTAACAGCCTGTGCTCTTATTGAAGCTGGTAGGCAGAAATATATGCACTTACAATTGCATGCAATGAATTAGGTTTTAAAGGCTAAAGCATATAGATAATTATAGATTATTTTTTTTTAATTTTCATTTCATGCAGTTGCTACTCCTGATGGAGATTGGAAACTAGGCGTAGTAATGGGAGAAAATGATGCTTCACCTTCTGAGGAATACTTCCAAATAGTGCAACAGATCCAGATCAGAGAGGAGGAGAAAAAGCATCAGTTTCTGGAAATAGTTCAAGAAGAAGAGGGACTCATGGTAGTGGAGGAGGAGGAGGAAGAAGATGAAGATGAAGAAGGAGAGTTTGAAGTAAGAGGAAGCACTCCTCTTCCCGTGATACCTGAAGGCAATGAAGATGAGCTGGACACAAGTGACAAACCACTCCAGCCCATTCTCGACCCACATGCCATTATAGAGCCATCATCAATGGCAAAGGCATCAAGTGTTGAAGGGACGCACATGTATGACGTCCCAAGACCTTTAATTGGAAAAACTCAAGCCTCATCAGTTGATGCTATTCAGCTTCCATCTCGATACAGACCAAAGCGCCTGTCTGTTGATTCTTCACTATCGCATGCAGCTACTGCAGGAATGAGTCAAAGAATCAAAGACCTGGAGCAGCAGCTAATCATTGCAAAAGGAAGGACAAATGAGGTTGAGGAAGTCCTTCACAAAGCAATCATGACAGCTGAAGAGCGAGCAGTAATAGCAGAAGAAAAAGCAAGAGCTATGGAAGAAAGAGCCATCAAAGCTGAGGAGAAATGCAGAGAAGCTGAAGGTAGAGTACTAGTGCTAGAGGGACAAGTAGCTACTCTGGAAGGATTGCTCAAGACTTCTGAAGAGAAGTTGTGTGCATCTTATAATGACACAATAGCATACTCTGAACAGGTAAAATGAAGTGTAGGAAAATGCCAACAAGTAGTGTGAATATGTGAGGCATTGTTTGCATTTTAACTAGCCATTCACACCTATTATATAGCAGGGTTTATAATTAGGTGCTTTTATGAGTCTCGTTTTTGTTTGTTAACATTTGCTACATGCATGTCAATATTAATTTAATTATATTGAATGGCCTGTTGCAGGTATTAGAGCTGGAAAGACAGCTCCTTGATTCAGAAGACAGAGCCATAACAGCTGAGATAGCAATAAATGAGATTGAGGCCCAGGTTCAAGAAGAGAAGAAGAAGCTAGAAGCAAGAGAACAGAAAGAGAAAGAGAATGAAAACTCCATCACAGAATTAGAAAAACAAGTAAACTTAATTTTATCCTCTAACTTGATGATTAATGTACATTGTAGATTGCTATCATGACGGAAGAGATGCTTACTACAGCAAAAGGGCTGAGAGAAGCTGAAGAATTAATTAAATTTCTTCATTGTGAAGGTAGCCAAAAAGAGCAAGGAAGTAGCCAAAAGCCACAGGGCTCATCATTTTGGAGAGCATTAGCTGACGTACAGCATCCAAGCATCACTCTTTGCTTTACTGAAGATGACATCATTACACTATCAGCTTCAACAAGGAGCAGACAAGAAGTTTGCACTCTTGAGGCTGAATGTAAGCAAGGAAACAAGCTAGAGAGACAAGAGGTCTACACAGTGTCCCTTCATACATTTCAAGCTCTCATTCATCTTCACAAGAACAACCTGAGGGAGAAGTTTGATGTTTCGCTGTGCCCACACTCAGTTCTCTTGCAAAAAGATGAAGATAAAAAAATATGCCAAGCACAGCTACTCGTATCTTTAACTAATGATGATGAACCAGTTTCACATGAAAATGATGAACTTTTTACTTCACTTTCAAACGACTTAAATCAATTTGCATTGCTACTGGTCACAATGGCAACTGGTGATTTGACTTCAAACGTTAGCGAGGGTTTAGCAACAATTGAATGGCCTGCTATGACAGAGCTAGTTTCTCAGTGTATGAACACTGTTGAATTCAATGACGGTTCACTCCTAATGGATAATATACTTCACCAAATAGAAGCAATGCAGATGACTTTCCAATAATGAAGCTATTTTAAAATTAAATTGTTGTTATAAAATTAGATTAATTATTTCTTATTATTGTGAATGATGAACACTGTTAAGACCTAGTCTATTCCGAGCAACTTCAATTGCTATAAACTGAGCCCTGGGCACTAGAAAATAGTAATAATGAATATATAAATTAAGTCAATTCTTGTACCCAAAATTGTATTGTCTTCAGAATAATCTTTTGAAGGATCAATTCTAATTGAGAAGATACAGAGTGTATAGCAAAAGTTTAATAATAGCTGCTTAGCTTTTTACCTTAAAAGAGTGCCAAAATTAAAGTCCTGGATCATTTCTTCATAGCTGTTACAAAATGGCCGCCATCTCTGAAAGAAAAACAAAAAACTTTATTGCTAAATAGTCAAGCACTAACTTCTTTAGCTTCTGCAGACTTTATCGAGTCTGGATCAAGGCATTTAACCTATAAAAACAAACAATGATGAAATATTATCTAAAAATCTCACATCAATATCACTAAAATCCTCTTGCAATTTCTGATACATTTCATCATCATATCTAAATAATTACGTAAGTCCACAATGATGGAGTACTATTTTATACTTTGTCAGTGATAAAGACTTGGCATCAGCAGCTTTTAACAGCTAAGAAACTAGTCTTATTAGCAAGAGCTACAATGATAACTCACTCTCATGTGTGTCTCTGCATATTTGATGGCTTTTATAGCCCACAACTGCTCAATCATTGGCTAATGTAAAAAAATGAGCATAAAATGACAAAAAATAGACAAACATTATTAGTATAGTTCTCTGCATTTGAACTGATGGCTGAAGCAGCTGCCATTGACCCCTCAATGCCCTAAATGATATCAAAAAGATGATAGAAAACAAAGAAGCCACTCACCAATCCTGCTAACTGTTCTTCCATGTTTTTTGCCTTAAAAACGCACGTGACTTGGCGCATGCGCACAAGGACCCAGGTTTAATTATGGGCGTGGTCAGTAGGTGACGGGCGTGTCTATTTGGCAAAATTTGCTGCATCATTCTGGAGCAGCTATACACAGTACATCTCATTGTACTGTACATAAACAATCATAGTAGCACTCTTTTTCACTATAGCAACAAGCCCCTGGCCTGTATTAGGACTGGAAAGAGTCCTTGACTGAAGCTGTGAGACCTAAAGCTTCCTTTAGACTAGACTTCGGGTGTACAGGGGCAGCGCTTTGGAGCCCTGTTCTCCATCTTTCTCTCAACCTCGAGTACCTCCTATCTTTTTGAAGGTGAGTATAAGTATTGAGACAGCCTTGAAGCTCAATGACACCTCTACTGAGTTCTCCCTTGCTATTGACTTGTAACTATACACTACAGTATTGCATGTCAATTGTGTGTGTATGTATGAGTATTGTATTTCAATTAACAAAGCTGTCATTCATTGCTCGTCTTATAATGCTGTCTAAGAATGCTGTCTACTTTTCATTAGTGCTCCATTTAACATTATTATTTGTATACAAAACCCATATTATTATTATTATTATTATTTACATTGTTATTGCTATAGTTCGGTTTCTAAGTCTATTCCTCCTCCTCCTCCTCCTCTAATCATTTCGTCTACTCAAGCGTACACGCCTCCCAGCCGCTCCTCTCCTCTCTCTTCTCTTGGTATCATGCCTGTTAGTGGTTTCAATACTGTAGTCATTGGCCAGTCTAGTGTCACTCCTAGCGTACCTTCTCCCTCTTCCTCCTCCATGACAAGCACCTCGCCTTCAAACTCCTCCACTCCCTCTCCGACTAGTTCGCTACCGCATAAACAGCCGCAACAGAATGGACTCCACCCGTCAGACGACATGGACGTCTGCAACGGCCTCGGGAAACCCTCCAGCACGAGCTCCAGGCAGCTCCTCCAGGACGCAAGCGACTTGAACCTCATGGATGATTTCTCTAATCACTTATCGATATCGCCCAAGCCGCCTCAGCGTCTCCCGTCCTCCGAAAGAGAAAAGGCCGAGATGAGCTCTTGCTTGTCTATGTTTGACGAGTGGACGACTAGCAGACAGAGTGATTTCGTTGAGCAGATCATTGTTAGGATGTCCTTTCATCAACATGAGAGGCTTTATTCTATTCTAATACCAATGCTACAGAGGGATTTCATCACTGCACTACCTGGTCAGTTTATTCCTTTGTCTCCTTTCAGCTTTTTTCTTTATTTTAAAAATACATTTGTAAAAGTACATGTACAGTACATCTTTCCTTTCCCTTCTATACAAGGCTCTCTCTTTTATGGCTTTAATGTAATATGTACTTTTACATGTGTAAAGTGTCCTTTCATGTAGAGTGTTGTTATGGTAAATGTCTATAAGGTTTTTGGGAGCCAAGTCTTCTTTAATTTGTTGTCTTTTTTGTCTGAACTCATTTCCTGTTTGATGTATAGCTTTCCTCCAATGAGACACAGTAATGTCGTTTTGAACTTTGCCACTTGACACTGTATACATGTTTATACATACATGCACCTGATTCTGCTCTCACTCCTTCCCTCTGCATAGGCAAAGGCTTACATCATGTTGCTTACAAGATATTATCTTATCTTGATGCACAGTCACTCTGCAGGGCAGAGCTGGTAAGAATAATCTATACTTTTCTTTCATGTCCTTAATTCTCTTTCCATTTTCTTCCTCTTGCACGATTCTCTTTCTTCTATTTTAATTCTTACTCTCTCCCCCCCTCTCTCTCCCTCCCTCCATTACTGTAGGTGTGCACTGACTGGTATCGCGTGATAGCCGACGGTATGCTATGGAAGAAGCTGATTGAGAGGAAAATGAAAACCGATCCAGTTTGGAAAGGACTCTCAGTCAGGAGGGGATGGTAAGAGGAACAAGAAAACGCCCGAGAAAGAGGAAGAGAGAAAACAGATTTTATGTAGCATGTACATGTACACAGTACAAATTTACCATGTAGATGTACATCAGGATAGATTATGTACATGTACATGTGTCATAATTGATTACTCATTTTGTGTGTCATACAGTACATGTAAAATTGTAAATCCCCTACTGTATTGTTCATTATAAATCCCCTTATGTACATGTTTACATGTATTGCTTTATTGATATCATTTTCCAATGAATAATAGCTACAGCACATAGTGTCAACCTGAGAATGAATAACAGTTATTGTGTGGTGTTATGATAGATTTATGATTTGTAGTAGTAAGTGTGGGTGGGGGAGGGAGAGGAGGAAGAGGGTTATGTGTGTTTGTAATGAGTGTTGTGTTGTGGTATCCTTGAACTGTGTTGTCTCGCTCTCTTTTGATGTGGACAGCATTCCAGACTCTATAATCAATATAATTTCATCCCTTTTGTTTCTCCTCTCCCTACCTCCCTCTCTCTCTCCCCCTCTTTCTCTCCCCTCTCTTCTTTATTTTTCATTCTTATGTTCTCAGGGGTTGCTACCTCAATGCCCAGAACACTCCTCCAAGCGAGGTATCCATCCACGACTATTTTAGAAAACTCTACCCGTGCATCATACAAGACATAAGAGTAAGTCCTAGTGCTTCTCATTCACTCATGAGCAGAAACTAACCATCATTTCTACCATGCCACCTTGCGATTGACTAATCAGATTGCAGTACTGGAGGTCAATTATTTTTCATATTAACCTAGCTCGTAAAAATATAAACCTATTTCGTTAAATAATTAATTGATTGGCAGTTTGGTACTCTACGCTTATGCTCTTATTAGTCCATTTGTCAAGTTTGGTTGATTCTTTACTGGCCTAGCCTGTTAGATATGTTGTATGTATGTCAACTGTGGTCTTATTATCAGCAGCTGGTAGTTGTTTTTCAAGTGTCATGGTAGAAGTTGGTTATACACCTCGGTATCGGTTTCTATGGTATTTATTAACCTCGCGACTGCGTCGCTTGGTTAATAAATACCATAGAAACCTCTACCTCGGTGTATAACCTATACTAATTGATATTTTGTTTTAACGCGTGTACTTATTGTGTATGGTAGCACACAAGTATAGTATGCAAGCAATTGTTTATGTGCCTGCGTTTGTGAATAAATAAACACGTACGCTACATGTAATTGCAGTATTTTACAAATGTACATGTACGTGTATAGTACATGTAGCTGCAATACTGTACATGTACAGTATGTGTACATTATACAGTACATGTGTACATGTAGGTGTATGTGTACGTGTGTGAGTGCATGTGTTTCATTCCTTGATAGTCTAAACTTTACTGTTATTTTCATGTTTGCTATTTTCTATATTTAGTTATCGTTGTAATTTTACCTTTTATAAAGTCATTCATAATTATTATTATTATTACTAGTATTATTATTATTATTATTACTATAGAATATGGAAGATAATTGGCGGAACGGTAGACAGACCTTGACCCGTATTGAGTGTCACAGTGAGAACAGCAAGGGAGTCTATTGTCTTCAATATGACGACAAACACATTGTCAGTGGATTAAGAGATAACACTATAAAAGTATGTCATAATGGGATATTAAAGAGAAAGAGATTGGAAAGAATTTAAGAAATGAGATTAAGCTTTGAGAGAGGAAAGGTGGAGTCTTACATACATGTATACATGTACATGTACGTGTATGTGTATGTGTACAAAAGTACATACATGTGTACATGTGATGAGAAATACTGTATAATTCTGCTTAGGTATGGAAGAAGGACACTATGGAGTGTTTAAAAGTACTCACTGGACACACGGGGTCCGTCCTATGTCTTCAGTATGACGAGAAGGTCATTGTAACCGGATCAAGCGATTCTACTATTAGGTAGGGGGAGGGAGAGAGGGAGAGAAGGAAAGAGACAAAAGAAAGGGAGAAGGTGTATGAAGGATATTATTAACGTGTACGTGGTGCTCTTTAATTAGAGTCTGGGACGTTGAAACAGGGATGATGCTCAATACGTTAGTCCATCACTGCGAGGCCGTTCTTCATCTTAGATTCAACAACGAGACAATGGTCACTTGTTCCAAGGTGTGTCTCTAATTTATTATTGCTATACCCTCCTAATAGCAGACACCACCCAGATATGGCAATGTGAACACACATGTACATGTACATGTACATCCATTATTATTGTTATGCACAATAATGGTTCATGTACAGTACATGTTTAAATTAATAAGATTATAATATAAGTACATGTACATGTAGCATAATTGTAATTTTGTTCTTTTTATTATTGTACATAATTATATCCAGGATCGAACCATTGCCGTGTGGGACATGAAAACCCCCTCGGACATTGTCCTTAGAAGAGTGCTAGTAGGACACAGAGCAGCTGTTAACGTAGTGGACTTTGACGACAGATATATCGTCTCGGCCTCTGGCGACAGAACTATCAAGGTAAAAGAGGGAGAAAGGGAAGAATAGAAACAGGAAAGAGTAGGAGAAGATGATTTGAAAGGAGTAGTAAGAGAAAGATTAGGAGAGATTGACATCCAAGTGACCATACATATGTACATGTATGTCATGATTTGTATTTCTCTTATCTCAGGTATGGCAGACCAATAATTGTGAGTTCGTTCGTACTCTACACGGCCACAGGAGAGGCATAGCATGCCTGCAGTATAGAGGAAACCATGTCGTGAGTGGCTCCTCTGATAACACCATTAGGTATGTGAGATAGAGAGGGGGAGAGGGAGGGAGGAGAGACAGACAGACAGAGAGGGGGAAGGGAGGGGAGACAGACAGACAGAGAGAAAGAGGGGGAGGGTACTTGTGCAGTTGTTGTTTGTCATTGAGAATTGTTATGTCTGGTCTACCTGTGGGAGTTGGGGTATTTGTTCAGAAGTTGAAAAGTTAAACTTATCTACTTCACTACTACTCCTCTTCTAATAGGATATGGGATGTGGAGTGTGGCTCTTGTTTAAGACTTCTTGAAGGTCACGAAGAACTTGTACGGTAAGTCAGAGGATTTTCCCCACAGTTAAAGTTACTCAAAAATCAGGCCTAAGTCCCTGTACTATAGTACACAGTCTCAGGCTGAATTTTGCTAAAAAGGAAAAGTAGAGAATCCCCCATTTTTATAATTTTTTATGATACATGTACATATACATGTTTTTATGTTGTGTAGAAAGTTTGAGCTGATTCCGATTAAACTTGGATTTTTTACAAAATAATTTTAAAAGTTACTAAAAAAGCCAAGCATGTTTTTAGCCCACTTAGCATGCTTTGTAAGAAACTTGTGATGCATGCATCTACATGTACATGTATAAAAATTATGTTAATTTTTATGTCACATTATGATTCTACTCTCTCTTTTCTTTCCTCATACTTACAGTTGTATTAGGTTTGATGACAAGCGGATAGTTAGTGGAGCTTACGATGGGTGAGTTATGCCTCTCCTTATGTAGACTAGTATTGATATGACAATATTAAAATATAGGACCATCAAAGTCTGGGACTTAAAGGCAGCGCTAGACCCCAGGACACCAGCCACCAGCCTGTGTTTGAAGACCCTATCTGTATGTTCCTATTCTCTCAGTCATCATGTTACATGTACATGTACTGCCAATTCTATCAAAGTATAGCAATTTAAATTTTGGCCAAAGACCATGTGTCATTGGCTATGAAAATTTGCAGCATTTTCTGGTGCATATCTTATGAAATACATATTCCTTTAATTATGTACATGTACAATGTACATTATATGAATGTATCAATGAATTGATTGATACGCAAAACTCTTCATGAATGCATGGCCTACATGTGTGTTATTATTATATTATTATTATTATTATTATTATTATTATTATTATTATTATTATTATTATTATTATTCTTACATCAGGAGCACACTGGTCGTGTATTCAGACTCCAATTTGATGATTTCCAGATTGTCAGTAGCTCGCATGACGACACTATCCTCATATGGGACTTCCTGGACTCTTCCCCTCCAGATCCCATGGAAACTGACGAGGGAGATCTCGGGGACGAGGGAGCAACAGGGAGAGACCCGTCCCAGCCGATAGTCCGCAGACACTCAAGCGAAGAGCCGGATTCGCCAACGGCTGAAGATGGAAACTTTTCGCTCCCAAACGAAGAGAATGGGTCGCCTAGTTTGAATGACGGTGAGAACCTCTCACTCAGCGACCATTAGCGTTATAATTGAAGCAGCTTCTCTGTCAATCTTTATTATTATTATTTTTTCATTGCTTCTCTTCACTGTTGGTTATTCCACTGTGCTTGAGAGAATCGGGAGAGAATCCTCCTTCATGCAATATATAACTATACTTCAGTGACTTATTATTTTTCTTTTTTTTTTCTTCTTGTTACTCTTATGATTCAACTAATAATACGCATTACTTACACACGCATACCAAAGGATTGTAATACCTCTCTCTGATATTTTCTCTGTTTGTCCCTTTGTTGTAATTTTTGCATGTAAAATAATAATAATACCAATAACAAAATTACAATGTGTTTCGTGACAAATTTTTTGCAGCGGAGTGAAGCAATTATAATTGACGAAGCTTCATTGAAAGCAAAAAGAGAAATTGGTATTTAAAAAATAACAACTTTGATCATTCATACTGATGCAAAAAGATGGTCAAATGGGGGTGAGGGAGAAGGGTTGCATTCAAACGACAGATTTGTAAACAGATAACCCTCACCATCCGGACCACCTAACGTTGCAGTGGTAATCGTATGTTTTATAGCCATGCTAAATTATAGTAAAAAGCAATCGTGGGTCAACATTCCACTATAATTATCTGGTGACATCCTGTCATGAATTCGATCGTTGATGATATGCTCACACCACACATAAATAGACACACACACAAAGAAGGAATGATGATGAAAGCAATATCTGTCTCTGTTGTATTGCTAATAATACTAGAGGGTGCTATAGGTCAGTGTTTATATAACTGCCGTTATAAGAGAATCTGATTCCCTTTGATAGCTCAAAATGACACCTTTCGCTTTGCTAACTACTACGGAGACAACATGGTCCTCCAGAGAGCTCCAGCTTCTCCTGCAGTTTGGGGGTTTGTCCCTTCCTGTGATCCAGTGACTGTTAATTTTAATGGGAAGGACATGGCAGCCACAGTTGTTAAAGGTACTTTGACTACTATTATATATGCTTAATGCATCTCCTGTGTATTTATAATGTAGGGGACAAGTGTAAGTTTGTGGCTAAGATTCCTCCAACTGCTGCTACAGCCAATGGACTCACAATAACTGCTACTTCAGGCTCTAGCTCCATTTCATTGAAGAATGTGATATTTGGAGATGTATGGGTGTGTGGTGGACAGAGCAATATGGTCTTCACAATACATCAAGTATAAGTTCAATGTAGCTAATCCTGATCTTTACTTGTTTATAGGCATTCAATGCGACTGATGAGATAGCTAAAGCTGATAATTATCCAGATATTCGTCTCTTTACTGTCCAGCGTGTTTCCTCAGATACTCCATTGGATGAGCC